CATGTAGGTGCTAGGAATCAATTCCAGACCCGGAAGAGCAGCAGTCAGTGCTTTTAACCACTTAGTCATCTCTCCAGCCCCTGATTTTATTTCTTAATAATTGAGCCATTACACAGATGTTTGAAAGTCCTCTTGTTACCCCTTACCGATCTTATCACTTCCCAAATCTGACCTCTGTCTACAATTAGTATTTAATCTGCCCATGCTTGCATTAAATGTTTACTCTAACATTTAAACCATTACAAAGATATCCAGTCTAAAGGTTGCAAAGTTATATAAACTCCAAGTCACAACGTGTCCCATGTAATTCATTTCTTTCTCCTCCATAATTCAGATAATGAAACATGGGTCCTAGTCATTTCCTCTCTGCCACAGCGTGTCTATTCTCTGTTGATGGACACTTGAGTTGTGAAATATAAAGAGAGTTGAAGGAATGTTCTTAAATGCTTATTTGAGGACCTTTTGTTCTTGTATGGTCCCGAGTCTAGAACCCAGAGCTGTGTGCACAACAGCAAGTCTTCTGCCACGGTGCTACCCCCGCAAGACAGACTTCCCAGTCTCTGAAGAATCAGAAGACAAGGCATGGATGGTTGAACTTCATGCATTCTATCCACAAGGTCGCACCAGCCATGAACAGAGGCATGCCAACTCTTGCTTGGCCTGCCACCCACAAGTCCATGCTGCTCACCCTGGGTCTCCAGCACAGGGGCTATTTCCCTCAGCTCTCCGGGGACTTGTGCGTGGCCTTCCTATTGCTCCCTCCCCCCTTTGCTCACCAGTACAGAGATGGCAGCTCTTGGTCAGGATTGGTGAGAGCTGGAAACTGAGTAGGGAATGAAGACCGTTCATCGGCCTGTTCTTCCTCACACAGCAATTTTCCTAACAGATGCAATTACATCTGAGTGTCGTAGAGAATGAGATCTTATGTTTTATTTCTTTATTCATCATTTTACAAATGGGCTTCACTGTAAAAAGGAAATTGCCTTTGTAGCTTGGTTCTTTCTGCTCCATGCCGGAGGGCTCCGAGCTTTGGTTTTTACACCAGCTGGGGCCGCCGCCACCTTGTTGCTGACAGGGAGGAACAAGCCAGGGAGACGGGAAGGAAACCAGGCAGAATTTACTTAAATTCAATATATTTTTATTCTTTGTAAATACAATGAGTACAACCTTTTAACTTCACAAATCAGTTAATTCACTTTGTACAAGAGAAGTTTGACTCATCCTATGCTAGTCCAAGTGCTGAATTCTGTCCCCCTTGGTGCTAGTACCTAATAAATCAAAACGTGAAAAGTACAGCAGCTATTTAAAAATGTTTGTTTCTACATTTCCATAAGTATAGACTCTTACCCAAGGAGCAGCTTAGAGTGTAGGATGGTGTGTGTGTGTGTGTGCATTCGAGGCTTTATTAGAGACCAGAGTTCTCTGAAAGGCATTCAAGAGCCCCAGGCTGTTAGCAATGGAATGATCAGGGACCTAGTTAGATGCATCTCCTTGAAGTTCCTTCTGGCTTGCATGTCCGTGTACCATCTGGTGTGACTCGCTGACCCTGCGGCCTTTGGCTTCAGCACTGTGATGATGGGACAGCGATCAGCTTCGCCCAGTCACCTGGCCCCACTTTATTTGGTTTTGCTGTTTGGATTCATCTTCCCTGAACCGAGGTTCTTTCACTAGAGAGCTCTTGTAGTTTGAGATGCTATCCAACCTGAAGTCTTGGCGAGAAATTCCTTTTTGTCATCAGTTCCTTTGACGAGGCTGCCTGGCCTGTGTTACTAAGAAAAGAAGAAAGAACAGAAAGGGGGGGGGGAATTACACAGCATAAGCTACATTTCACTTACTCACTTGGTTCTGAAGGCCACTTAATGAAGTATTATGATAGAAGGGAAACTTTTGATAATACTTTTGATTTAAAACCTAAGCATTATTTTTAAAGTAAATGCTCCAACCCGACCGAGTTCCGAAGGCCGCAGTATGATGATACACAAAGCTATTGTTGATCAACTGACGTGATGTGCTAAAAAGGAACAGAAAGTGGGACTTGTCTTTCAACTTTGAATAGTTCAGCTGGATCTTCCGGGTAGAGGCAGAACGGCTGGCTTGGCCTATGGTGGCCCCAGGTCACCCATTCCAGGGCATGGCAACAGTGACCGCTATACCACCTGCTTTACCAGATGTCCTGCTTCTGTGGAGCAGTGGGTCACAGTTATTGTTTTATGTCCACTGGCATTTTTTCCTGAAGGCAACTCATTTCCAGGTTTCTCCTTCCAGGAGGGTCTGTTAGTTGAGGCTTTGTCGGGCGTGGTAGAAGTCCGTCTGCTACTGCCCCATTTTGGAAAGTGAGTACTGGAGATCTTAGATGTCACTGGATTTGTACATATCTGAAAGCAGTCTTGTAATTGGCACGTTGCCGATGGTTTTTTTGAAAAACACTTCTTCTATGGTGGATGGGCTAATTGAACGTAAAGCTGGTAAAAGCAACAGGAGTTTCCCAAAGCGGCAGGGTTGAGTGGGGTATCTGCAATAGGAGAAGCCATGAAAGCAATGTCAGAGCCCCACACAAGCAGGGACTCACGTTTGACACTTGAACCCACATCAGCCCCAAGGCATCTTCCTGACCTGGACCTCTGCAGTTACGTGCTGTAGACTGCTGCAGTAGCGTGCTGCAGCAGCCTCCAGGACAGGTGCCTCCATCCCTGCTTCACAGGTAGACTACTGGAATCCCTGAAAACAGGAATGGCACTGTCCAAATCACACACGTGCTCAACTCTCTTTCTCTCTCAATATCAGCAAGGGGAGTACATTTTTATTTCTAGATAAATCAGCTTTAAGACACCTGATGCTAATGTTAAACCAAAGAACAAATGTAACATTATCACTGTAGGGAGTGACCATAGGATTGATTATGAAGCTGGCACTGGAATTCATAGTTTTAAATTCTCAACACTCTTGAACAGACCATTCCTCTCAAATAAAATGGCTTCTTTTTCTAAGCAATTCTCCCAATTATTATTCAGGCATTATACTTTGTCACTCTCAGGAATAATTCCGCCCTTATTACACTGCAAATTAAGACTAAGTCCTGTTGGGCGGCAGTGCCACCCAGCTTTCATGTCAATGAAATTGGCACATAATTAAAGATGGGAGAAATTGCTTAACAATTTCCTTACTTGATGCCCAACACACATTTGTACTCAGATGTACGTGTTCGGTCCCCTCTGTCTTTGGATGCTGTACTCCACCTCTCATGCCCCGAGACTGCTTCAGCCAATGGCTTAGAGTTGGGCATCAATACCCTCTGCAGGAAAGCATCCCTCCACTGAGAAAAAGCCACATAAAACAGCTTCAGGGACACCTGTGTGACTACACATTGTTCTACCTAGGCCATGGGTGCCAGAAACAGAGAGATATCAAATTCCTCTGCAGGAACTTAACTGTGTTTAACTGCCTGATAGCTCCACTCTACAGAGAGAGCCTCGGAAAACAACTTCCACACTTGTCTCTTAGCTTTGGACGAAGAAGAGCTACCCTGTTTGACTCTCATATAATCAAATTTCATAGGAACTCTTGGATAGGATACCAGATGACACTTAATAAGGTGGGGTGGAAATGATGATGCTTATCTACAGTAAAAATAAGAAAATGTTTGTGGGCTGGAGAGATGGCTCAGTGGTTAAGAGCAGTGGTTGTTCTTCCAGAGGTCCTGAATTCAATTCCTGACAACCACATGGTGGCTCACAACCATCCATAATGAGATCTGGTTTCTCTTCTGGCTTGCAGGCATACATGCAGGCAGAATACTATATACATAATAAATAAATAAATCTTTTTTTTAAAGAAAATGTTGGATGTGGTGATTTGTACCTATAATCCCAGGACTCAGAAAGCTGAGACAGGAGGGTTGCCATGGGTTCAGAATTAGCTTGTGCTACATAGAGATAGTGAATCCAGGCCAGCTTGGCTTACAGAATGAGACTCTCTCAAACAAACAGCAATAACAAACAAAAGAAGCTCAACCAGAAGCACCAGCCAATCACATTAACACCTAAATGTCACCTCTTTTTCTCTGTGCTGAGTGATATGCCAGACTTCCTCTAGCTTTGGTCACTTCTGTCTTCAGTGGCTGTTTCCCTTCCCAGGATTGGACAAAGAGAGCTCTGTAGAGATGAGGTAGCCTAGACAGTCTCTACTATGCCTGTTGCATCCACCCAGCACGCTAAACCTTTCCCATGATGAGAAATTGTTGCAGGAAATAACATGTGCTGGAAAGGTTAGATTTGGGAGAGTCCAGAAACCAGACAATGAAACTGCCTTTCGTGGGTGCTGGGATGAACCCAGGGCCTTGTGCAGGAGAGGCAATCAAGTGCTCCACCACTAAGCTGCAACCAAGCCCAAGAGTTAACTCCTGATTGTCTGCAAGTGGATTATCCACTCATCTCTCCCACCTCTTTTATTCTCTAGTTGGGAAAGAACTGGTCACTCAGTCAACAAGAATGACTTATTATACGTGGAGTAGTGAGCCACCTAGAAACAAGAACAATGTGTGTGTCAGTGTGTCTGACTGCTCAAGATTATTTTGTAGTGGATTTAAGGACCACTTCACAAGATGAACTCATGCCTGGTGCTGTTAACTGGGCTAAGAACCTGTGACTGAGTAGGCCAGAGGCTTTAGGGGAGCACCTACTAGTTGTGAATGGGTACAGTATCAAATGGCTCTCTAAATGCTTATCTGTATAGCCATAGATAAGTGCAGCTCTTACCCCTCCTCAGGGGAGCTGCTTTTTCCAGTATATGATGCTTACTTAATGCAGAGACCCACACAACTGATCAAACTGTATCGAATCAGAGACTGTGGGGCACTCAGGACACCAATAGGACAGCTGCACCACACGCACACACACACCACACACACACACACACACACACGCACACGCACACGCACACGCGCACGCGCACACGCACACACACACACCAGAGCTCAGTTTAGAAGTGGGGTGGAGTGATAGGAAGAGCGGAGGTTGCAGGAGACTGCTCTGAAACAACGTTTTCTAGATACCCAGGCCTGTTGAACACATGAACACACAGTGGTTGTGGCTACATGCACAAGACCTGCATAATATCAAATCAGCTGAAATTCCAGCATGAATGAGGAGAGGCTCATAAAGTCTCACCCCTAGATGAGGAGGTTTTGGCGGTTGATGGCTGCTGGAAGACAGAGCATCAGTTTCCTGCAGGCATGCAGGCCCAGGTAGGTTGTCTATGCTCTAGTGGATGGCCTTAGCACATGCAGGCAGCACCCACTGGACTCAATGGCATGGGCTTCTTTTTAAAGGATACATGAAGTTGGAAGGGAGATGTGGGTGGGGATGGGAATGAAATTTATAAAGAATAAAGATACATTTTAATTATTTTGTAGAACATGTATCCCTGACTTCATCTATTAGCATAAATAATTAGAAGTTTCTTTTTCAATTCTAAATGTTTTGTGCCTATCACAGATTCACGAGCTTCAGTTCTAACATGGCACTGTGACATGCCAGTTCCTAGCCAGCTCCATATATCCTAGATAACTAGAAAAGTCAATTACAGGACACTAAAAGATGCGTAAGTTTGCATGTTAGTTTTTTCAGTTCAATTTCAGATTTTGTTTTTCCAGACCAGGACATACTTAGAGTGCTCACTGATTTGAAAGAGCTAAGACAAAAAGGAACATTTATTTTTGTCACATATCTGACTCTAGACTTTAAGCAATAATTCCAGCTGATATCATGAGCTAGGAGCTCCATGACAAAGCAGACATCTTCCAGCCATTTCCAGAGACTAAAGAGTAGGAAGAGATGCAGTGTCCTCACCATGTCTCCAAAATAGGCTGTGATCATATGTGGTGGGATTCTCCCAGACCACTCTGTCTGCAGCTCCTGAGTACCAGACTGTCTTAGAGTCCCCCTGCTCATCTCTGCAGAACTTCACACAACACCGCAGGCAGCCCCCATGCCCAGGAGCTGCACCCTCCCTTCCCTACTGAAATCCCTCCATCACTCCATGCAAGACCCCTCTCATGTCATCCCTTTCATTCATCAACCTTCCTGGATCTTCCTCGCTCTTTCTCTCACTCTTCACCCCCCAACCCTGCGAAGTGACACAAAGGAAAGTACAGTCCCTTGTTCTTTCTGATAATTTGCCTCACCCACCTGGGCATGCTGACCACCCAGCGAAGGCCTGACTGAATCAATAACTGAATTCCATGTTCTCTGTTTAGTGTTCTGAATATTCTCCTGGCTCTGAGTGCCAAAGGTTAGCTGTGGCACACAGTCAGCTTTAGTGGGGCAAACATGCCCAGAGTATACATGGTTCCATTCTGTAACTTTGAATTACAAAACTAAGTGCCTACAATTTATATTCTACAGTTTAATGTGGGTTTTAAATTTCCCCGCCATTGCACTTTACTTTGGGAAAGCATACTTACACGAGATACCAAGCAATGCCATTTCAATGGTTCTTTTATAAACACAGAACAGTTTTATTCATTCAGCATTCAAAGACTGATTTATGACAGAAATAAGAAGCTCCTAGCCCCCACGGGTACTGCTGGCTTGGGATTTCTCTAACCCCTCAGGTGAGGGAGGCATTAATGGCCTCTGCCCATATAGTTAGCTCCACCATGGTGTCTATGGCTAACGTTGAGGTGATAGAGACAGGGTTCTGTGGGTCCCTATTGATTGTATCCCAACCTCAGATCTACCACAGAAGCTAAAGAGGTTTCATTACTCTTTTTAAAACCTCTCTCAAAAATAGATCATGAAGTCCACACTGGTGTTGCACCAGGGAACCTTTACTGAGCTCCTGACTTGGAGTTTCTACCAATATCCAATGTCAGTCAGAGGGTCCTGCCTAGACAGAAGTAACAGGGTGGGTGCTGGGACCCCAGATCGCCAGTCACCAAACCCAAGCAGCAGTGTTGGCCAGAGTAAAGATGGCCTTTGTGAAATCCTGTGCTCCTTGAACTTGTGGTTGGCCTCTGAAGAAGGGCACCTGTCCAGGGGTGATCTGACCACTTTCTGACAGAGCCATCTACTGTTTCAGACTTGGTAGCCTGTCCACGCCAGACTCACAAATGGGAGCAGCTTGGTCAGCTTGTTCACTCTCAGCACCTAATTCAATATGCCCTTCTCAACCTCCCCCCCAGAGACAGGTGAGGACATGGATTCTAACTAAATTAACTGGCTGGCAACAGGATAATTAGCCACGACGTTTGAACCCGCTCCTCACTGCCTGCCAGAACATTCACAATGGAGGCAATTTTCTTAAGTACATGTTCACAGCAAATAGCGGTCACCTGGTATGAATGTAGCTGTTGAGAGTTAGCTGGGCTTCATCTTGAAGCGCTGCAATGGCGGCAGCATTCCGGAAACTTCTCAGTTCAGAACCGCTGTGTGTGGGAACTAGAAATGAAGACCGAGAAACTGTGAGAGGCGGAATAGGGAGGACTGGGGGCTCATGGGGTACCGGAAGTGGATGACGACCTGGAAACTATGCAAGCCTCCACAGCTATGGAAGACCAGACCAAGCTCAGAGTATCAGCCCCATGAAAACACCACTGCCCCTCACAGCCCCCCACAGGTCACTCGAGAGCTAGACTTTGAAGTAGCTGAACTAATGGGGTAGCAAAAGGAGAAGAGGGAGTGATAGGAGCCTGTCTGTGTCTGCTTACCAGCTTTGAAAGTGACAATGCATTTTAGACAGGCAAATTCAGTGGCATCTAATCGGAGCTGTCTGAACCGAGCCACCACCTCCTGCAAAGCCTGTATTTCAGATATGATCTTGTTCAGCTTCTGGGAGTCTGTGTTGTCACTATTCATGCCTAGAATTGAAATATGGGATAAATACTCTAATATGAAGGCATTTTCATGTTTTAATATTGATTTTTGACAAAATTCTGCATATCAATATCTATTCAATTGTCACTCTGAGATATCTGATTCCATGTAAACTGGCTATATTGTATGAAAGTTAATATAAAATCTTCTCTTGGATGATAACAAACACAGTAATTTGCATTTAAATAACAATGCAAGCAGTCATGAATACAACAAAACAACATTATTTGCATTTAAATATAGATTTATAAATGACAGGTATACTCTATTGTTCAGTAGGAATTTGTTATTCTTTACATGTTGTTCTTTTTTCAGTAATGTATTTTTATGGTAATTTCTACAACAAAGTCATTAAATTGTGCAATTCTTACCAGATACAGCCAGTAGAGTGTTAGCATCAACCGGAATGGCCCATTGTGCTATTCCTAGAACAAACAGTTCTCTCCAAGCATCTTCCAAAAGCATCAGCTGTCATACAATAGATGTATAATATAATATAGTGTGTAATTTATAAATTTATAAACAATTTCCATATGTAAATTTCCTTTAAAGTGTTTTAAATGCCTGTCTTAGTAAAAAAAAATCCAAATAATCTATTTTCCCCTTATTTCCCACATTTTCTCTTTTTGAAGCTGTGCCTATAGACTCATGCATTTCAGAGTCAGTCATTCCACTTCCTCAAATCGCCCTTCCCTCAGGAAAAGGTTTACCTCTCCAGTCCTTGCCACACCCATGCCTGGCCACCTAGACACTTCTCTAGGAATCTACAACCCATAAAATGCCACCAGCAGCTGAGCAGGTGGTTGGCTCTAGTGTAAAGCACTGAAGACTCTGACTAAGCTTGTAGCTCAGGGTCCCCATCTTCCTGGAGAGTTGAGGGGGCTGGGAGACAGGGGGGAGGGAGAGATCACTAATTCCCAAGAGGCATGAGGAAAAATCAGGGTGTAATTATGTTAATCGGGTTTTGCTGAGTTTACCTCATCTCCCAGCCTGATTTTTCTGCGACTCATAAGTGGACAGCATCAAGGTGCTTGTCATTTTCATTCTAATAAAATGTGCTATTGAATATTTAAAATGAAAATCTGGCTCCTTTTTCCAAATTAATATACTGGATTCCACTTCACTGTAGTTTGCTTATTGTTGAAGGGTTTCCAGCAAAAGGCTAAGTGGCAGACAGGAAGTGAATTTTATTTGAATTAGAGTCTACAAATTCTTGTTTTCAGAAAAAAAATAGCCAATTTATACATATACATGCATGTGTGAGAGAGAGCAAATGAGTGTACGGCGTGTGTGTGCATGCACTCGTGCGCGCACACACACACACACACACAGAGAGAGAGAGAGAGAGAGAGAGAGAGAGAGAGAGAGAATGCAAAAGATTAAAGGGCAACCCAATAACCCTGGTCAAAGACTTTACCTATATCCTTGAAAACAGTTCTCTATGCTTCAATTTTTTTCAAAACCGGACAATGCTGACTGGCTTATATGAAAGATTTTACTTTGGAAAGCTAAGAATCATGAGGGTTTGCAACTAAATCCACAATTAGACCAAAATGTTTAATTTTTTAAGTGTTTCATTTTTTTATTTGCATTGAATACAAAAAATAATTTTAAAATTAGAGGTAAACAAATTGTGACCATATTTCACGCTAGGATATCAACGTATGTTTGGCACATTGTTTGTTTCCCTGAAGGGTGCATCTGGAAGGATGCTCTTACGATTAGCTAGGAATGAAAAGAATTAAACCCTCTGCTTTTAGAACTGTGTGTGGGATGCGATGGCTGAGTCCTCACTGAGCATATGACCCTACTATCCAAAAAAGGAAAAGAAGCAAAAAATTGCTTATTAGCCTTTTGAAAAAAGCCATTAATTTCTGTGAGTGCCCTTAGCAGCCAGTAGTCATGGCTTCTGTTTCTTTCTTCTTCTTATGATTAAAAATATTGTCAAGGACAACTTTTAATATTCCTAGCAAGAAATTTTATGAGATTTGCTAAATGCAGGTTTTTAGATGCACAGAATTTTCCTACCTCTGAACATCATTTATAACCAAAGAATTGTATAAAATTACTTTCTGTTGTTGTTGTTTCCAAAAGTTCTAAAAGAGGAAAGAATGGAGGGGTGTCATATGGCAACAGCATACTCTCCTTACATGTGAGGCCCTGGATCTGATTCGCCAGTAATGCCCCCAAGCAGAACAACAAGATACTAGCCAACAAGTCATCTGCCTCTTGTTTCTCCATGGTGATTAGCCACCAGCCCAGGCTGTATACATCACAGTGGAGAATATAAAGCTGAAGATATAAAATCCCACAAGTGGATACTCACACCACCTTCCCAGCTTGCATAGCATAAGAAAACATCATTTTATCAATAGTTTTCCTTGTAGCCCAGGCTGACTTCAAACTCCCGGGTCTCCTGCCTCAGCCTCCTAAATAATAGGATTGCAGCTGTGCATCCTTCCCCATGCCTGGCTTATCTCCAGTGTCAAAGAACAGTAAGACTTTTGAAGTTTGATACTTAAATTCTAAAAAAAAAAAAGATAATGTCCTACTGTCTATGTTTTACATACAGCATATCCAGCTACCCTGAAATAACATGGTTACATTTCTAATAAATGATTCATTGGTAGATATTTTGAACCTCTAGAATGATGTTGGCAAAGATAAATGGTTTCCCCAGGTTCAGAATGTACTCCTGCATTGCCCATATGTGCGGGTGACATCCAACCTATAAGGCTGAAGAGGCTGAAGATTTGCTTCCTTTCCAACCCCTCTGTGCGCTGTTGGTCATACCTGGTCTTGCAAAGACAATGTGGAAAAGGCTGGCACACTCTTTGCCCATTTGATGCTCATAAAGAGAAGCCTGGCAGCCGATTCACACACTGACTCTGTGGCCACTTCATAGAGATACATTGGGGTCCCGTTCACTTCGTGGGGATACTGGGAGGAAGGAGAAAGAGAAATGCCTGTAAGTGAGGGAACCATAGCTTTGCCAAAACAGCTGACATTTCAAAGCCCTGGTTAAAGAGAGGGTGGGGCTGAAGGGAATCCGTGCTCTGCTTAGGTTTTCATTTGCCTCCAGATATCTCTCTCTACAGAATCTAGGGATCGATGTTTATTGGGGGAGGCATGTTTCCGTTCTTTGGGGACTTCTGGCTATTCTGTCCCCTGCAGTAAATTTTCTTTGGGCTGAACCAAGTCCCAGGCCTGGCTCCCAATTTAGACAAGAACTGCTTGCATTTGTGTAAATAAAAATAGAAGTGAAAAAAGTATAAATTAATAGGCATCCCAAACACAAATATGCATATGAGTATTTTTAGAAAGGATTAGTATATTATGGAAATATTTCAATTAGACATCTTAATCATTCACAGAGCTTTCCCATTCATAACTGACAACATATTCATAACACTACTTTCCAGAGCTTATTATACACATCAAGGGTAAGAAAGCAATATTAAATATTGTGCGTGTGTATGTGCCCAGGTGTTTGGCTTCCCTGCAGTTTGAGGCTGCAGCTGGTCTCCTCTGGGGGGAAATCCCAGGTTTTCCTTCAGTGGGGGCCTTGGGAGGAATCAACTCCAGGACCTGGAGTGCAGTCCCTAGGTGGCAACCTTCCCAGATACTTCAGGCTGTGCCCCTGCTGGTAGGGCCAATTCTGGGAGTGGTTTGAAAGTGGGTAGGCAGCACAGGATGAGGAGGGGAGCCCTCCTAATAGTGATTTCTAACAATTTTTTCTCTCACTGAAATCATCCAAGATTATAGATCCGGGCACCTCGGGAGGCCCCTTCCCCCAGGTGGAATCAATTACTCTTCCGGTCAGTTCTGGCCTCGGGGAGCGTCTAAGGGTGCACTCTGTGATTAGACACCAACCATGAGCGATTTAGCGTTTCCTAATGTTACAGGCTTCTGGCCTCCACTCGGGAGTGTGCGTTTGTAGCCGCTTAGAGTGTGGTCTAGTCTGCATTAAACATCAGTATCTTTGGCGCAACAAGGAGCGGGAGACTTGGGGCACCTGGGAATGCCTCCACAGTTCCCTGACCTTGCCTCAGCTCTACTCTCTCACACCCCCTTCCCCCGCCCCCGCTTTGCTCAAAGAACAGTTTCTTTGGACCCAGCAAAGCCACTAACCTTGGGCGTGGGTTGAGCCAGGCTCACAAGGGTCTGCCGTTCAGGGGTGGCAGATACAGCGGCCAACTCCAGACCGTGCGGCTCCAGCTGCGTGACGGCAGTGAAGAAAGCAGGAGCTGGCAGCGCTGCCGAGGGGAAGTGTGCAGCGGCCCCATTGTCTTCCTTGTGCCCACGAAAGTAGAGGGCCACCTGTTTGCGGATGGTGGATGTCCGAGGACCCCGCTCATGCTGCACGGCTACACACACAAACAGATGGACACAGACTTGGGATCATAGGCTCAGTGACACTTGGATGCTGCCCGACTGCTGCTGCTGCTCCGTCAGGTCTGGGCCCACAAGGTCACCCAGGAAGAGTGCTTAGGCACATTTTCCCGGTACAGGTGGGAAGCAGGGATCTGACATGGACAAGAGTCAGGAAAGTGCTCAGCGGTCCTCCCCACCCAGGGATCCCGGGGAAACAGGAGGTCCTGTGGACCTCTGAAAGAACAAACTGCCCTCGCTCCCACCACCACAAAAGGGAACATCACACACAACCGGGTCCGCAGTGATCGACTCCCTCCACCTCTAAGTCTCCCCCACAAATGGCTTTGGCCTCCAGGGCCCCAGGAGAAAAAGACCCCAGCCCTGGAACCCTGGCGGATGGGACAAGGGAAAGCCATCTCCGAGTGTGTAGTGAGTGTGCCGGAGGAAGGCAAGGGAGATGTGACAATTACCACCAACAGTTTAAACAAACAAATTAATTCAGGGCAATCTTCCTCTGCAGAGCATGACAACTTGTCAACACACAAGTTCAACAGGTTGGACTCTCCCTCCTGCTTCCAGAGCGGTGGGAGGGGGTTCTCCAGGCAGGCTCCCTGCCTCAGAGGGACCCCTACTACAAGGCTCACTCTGCACCTCAGGCTCTCTCTCCTCCATCTTTGCCTAAGCCGATGCCCTTGCCAAGTCCTGACCCAGGGAGGAGTGGGAAGCGTAGCTTGGACCACTTTCTAGGTCCTGGAACTTCTGGAAGACCCAGGTCTGGCTCAGATTTGGGCTTCAGGGGAGTAGGGTGTTGGCAGTGCCCTTAAAGAGTGTGTCATCCTGTCTCTCTATCCCCTTTTATCTCTCTTCCATCCACCAAGAGAAGGTTCTTGAAAAGCTTAGGGCCAACTCAAAGGCCATATTGATTTTGCCAATGAGGACTTGAAATCTTGTCTCTGTGCTTGGAAAGTTCCAGAAAGGCTTAAGAGATTGTGAGATCTTAGGGAGGTTACTAAAGACTGCAAGGAGAGGTGTGAAATGAGGTTAGGACCCTAAGTAGGAAATCTGCACCTGAGCACTGGATTCCTGCCCTCACACACTGCCTTAGTGAGTGTGGTTTGGGGCTTCCCGTGTGGGCATGGGACTTGTTCTGGGAACACAGTTAGGTCAGCTGGGGACTGCTGCCATCTCAGAGAGACTACAACTGACAGCCTGAGGCCAATTCCCAGCATCTGGAGAGAAGGGTTCTGTTGGAGAATGATTTACATGCATAGGAGTGCCATCTATTTTCTGTACATATAATTTAGTTACTGCTCAATCAACATTAGAAGAATAAAGGCATGTACTGATTACCATCTTTGTTCATGTTGACTTCCAAACACTTCTTCAGTCGACACGCCCTGCACTGGTTTCTGTGCGTCTTGTCTACCGGGCATCCTCCCTGGAACAGATTGCAGGCAGTCAGAGGCCCCAGTGCCCTTAGGTGGGCACCCGGTCCTGGGGTGGGAGGCCCAGCGTAGGAACTTTAGCCAGCCACCGACCCAGGGCAGAGGTCCAGATCTAGTGAAATGGGAGAACCTTGGGCACTGGCACAGCCAGGTAAGTAAGGGGCTGGGATTCCCAGGGTTGAGACAAGAAGACCAGTCCTTGACCTCAGGGAGTTGACCAAAGAAATGGTCCTTCCTGATTTTCAAGATCTTCTGGAGCTAAGAGAAGCTAAAGAGGGAAATAGTCGCAGCCCTGAGTTGCACAGACGACACTTTTCAGGACCGAAGACAGCAACCTGGCCCTGAGCTCTGCAAGAAGCTGGCCTGTGGCCACCTTTGCTATCCTTTGCCTTACTGGCCTTGAGTCTATTGCTTGCTGCCATCTTTTGAGCAAACCCATTGCTCTGACAGATAAACCCTGACCACTTAGGCTTCACTGCCCTTTGCCCTTTCCTTTGCTTTTTCGTAGTTAAACCATCCTTACATAACCCAAAGCTTTTGACAACTCAGGCCCTGAGGTCTAGCCTCAGCCTAGGTCTATGGGAGCAGTCAGCCCTGGAATATGAGCCAGCAGCCAGGAGTTTTAGAAGGGCAAGGCCTGCAGAGAGAGTGTTGGGGCAGAGCTGAAGGACTGAGGAAAACCCAGGAAGGCACAGGAGACACTGCTTAACAGGAGGTTTATATATAGTAACTAGCAAGATAATGGGTAAAAAAAAGATATTTGCTGCTTTACAAATATTTATCTGATAGGGATAAGTAATCAAAGGTCTAATGTGATTTTCTGTGGGGAAAGGGGGTGAATAAAAATATTTGGCACTGGGCAGTGGTGGTGCATGCCTTTAATCCCAGGACTTGGGCAGGACAGCCAGCCAGAACTGTTTCACAGAGAAACCCTGTCTGGAAAAGAAAAGTGTTTGGCTGGGTGTGGTGGTGCACACCTTTAATGGAAGCACTCAGGAGACAGATAGAGTTGGTGAGTTCCAGGTCAGCCATGACTATATAGTGAGACCCTGTTGGAAGCAGCCTTGTGCTGCACCCCAGACAGTGGGCTTTGGAGACAGAGTCTTCATGTTCTACAGAAAGGGTGACCTGGAATTTACTGTGTAGCCTAGGCTGGTTTTAAATGTGTGACCCTTTGGCCCTGCTACCACAGCCAGTTCAGATAATGTTTCTTTCAGGGTTTGTTTGTGTTGGTACCTTCACTGGGGGAGCATGGATACAGATACATAATTATGTGTAAGTTTTTGTTTTGGAGCACTGAGGATGGAACCAGGGCTGGTTAAGCATCCTTCCACTTATGTGACACTCCTAACCTTATACACAGAAAAAGATTTTTATTTTGCTTCACATTTTTAAATATTCATAGCCACTGAAGTGGGAATGAGGAATTTCCTCACTGAAATATTCCTCAGGAAAATGACACACAAGAACACACAGTCTTCTTCACTAATTAAAAACAGGTTGACTTGGGCTGGGGATGTAATTCACAGCACATACCCAGCATGGATCCACACCCAACCAAACCAAAGCAAGATCTGCTCATTTGTTTAAAGTAAAGGTAGATGGATGTTCATAATGACTTCAAAATGTCAGCATTGCCATTAATAAGAAAGTGAATGGTCTTTACTTAGTCTTAGAACAAAAGAATTTTTAGTTCCTGGAAGAAAGATTCTATTTGGCCATCAGCAAAATAGTTCACTGTTGAGAGTTTCAAATTATTTATTATTAGATGTAGTTGAATGCCCAATTGGGATATTATCTTCTTTAGTATTTTGATAAACACGTAAAAACAAAGTGTCTCAAGTGGGTTTTCAAATCATATCAAATGTATGTAAGTATCTGGAGCTGGTGAGACAGAGGGAGAGCCTCAGATTTCACTTCTTTATTCTCTTTGTCAGCAAAGGGACATGGGCCTGATGGATTTGGGCTTTTGTTTGTTTGTTTTTGTTTTTGTTTTTGGAGACAGGGTTTCTCTGTATTGCTTTGGAGGTTGTCCTGGAACTCGAGCCATAAACCAGGCTGGCCTCGAACTCACAGAGATCCACCTGTCTCTCCTCCTGAGTGCTGGGATTAAAGGCATGTGCCACCAATGCCGGCCTGATGGATTTGTTTTTACCCCTTTACAAACACTTTGGACTGATAAAATTTGACTCTGAATTGATAGCCAGTTCTTCAAAAAGTGTAACATCTCAGATTCCTCAATTCTGTCTGTTGCATACAAGTATAAGATAATATGGACTAGTTGGTAAACCATAGCTGAGGTTGAGGCAAGAAGATGAAAAGTTTCAAGCCAGCCTAGGCTACAGATGAAGGCCCTCCTCAAACAACAGCAATCTAAGTAGATGCCTGTTCCAATCTGTTGTTCTACTGAACCTCAAACCTATGGAGTTTCTGGGATACAGTCCCATGTGTGTATATAATGTGTTATAGATGAGCTAGACACTGTGAACCCAAGAAAGCAAGTAAGAGTGTTGCAGAGGTCAAAATAACTTATCTAAATGAGTATGGCTTCTTGTGTGTGCTGCCAATCAAAACCTAACATAAACTCTATGAGCAGATGTTAAGCCGCTGAGCTAGGAATGGAGGAGTCACTGGTGGTTCCTGTTAGCTCTGTGGGAAGCTATAGCTGAGCTCGGCTCACTCCCTAACTGCCCTTTCTCTGAGAGATAGTTCAGTCTATGGCAGACTGAACCACAACTCCCCACGCTCATCTTGTGAGCAGAAAAGGGAAGAGTAGCGAGAACTTGATGGGGCCCTAACTTCCGAGCCTCCTCTCCTTGCTAACCCTGCACTTTTCTGAGTCACACAGTGCTGTGTCCTCACACCCGCCTACTTCCAGAGCCGCCCCCATCTGCAGAGCCGAAAGGACACAGCCTCGGGCAAGCATGAAGTAGCCAGCTTACTTTGGAGTCTTGGCAGCTAAAGGTGGTGGTGGCCCTGGCTCAGAGGCACCATCCATGGTTGTAGACTGAGCTTGACTGCTGCTAAGAACGGGACGGTGGAGGGTGGGCCGCCCAATGAGGCACTTTCTTCTGCTTGCGTTAGATTCTAAAGTTCCTTGAGGGCCTTACTCACTGTCAAAATATGACCAAGGAATTTAAAAAAAAAAAAAAGTGTAGGAAAGTGTGGTCTTTCTGACTCTCCCGTAAACTCATCTGCCTTCCTTAACCTTATGTGGCATTTCCAGGGCCAAAGGGTCACTCAAAGTTGAGGCAGGGAGAAGGGAAAAGGGCCCAAGCCAGAAAATTCGGAGGAAGCCAAGGCAGAAATGGGGTGGGGTGGGGCACCGAGGGGAGCCGGGCAGCTCAACCCTGGGGAGTACCTGGTTTCCAGACTTGCAGACATAGGTCCTATTCCTTCGGATGCTCCTCTTGAAGAACCCAGAGCAGCCATCGCAGGCGTAGACCCCGTAGTGCTTCCCGGAGCTGCGGTCACCACACACTTTGCAGGGGATATCTAAAATGCGGCCTGAGGGAGCGCGGGGAGGAGAGGGAGGAAAGGGGAGAGGGGGAGAGAGATGCTAAGCAATCTGACCTCTGAGGGGATTAGCATCGGAGCTGCGGTAAAAGCAAATAATGAAGAGATTTTATAGCCAAACTTTTTTTTCCTTGAGCAAGTGTCAGCTTCCTACAATGAGCGTTATTCATGCACCGCTACATGTATTTGGGTCTCCTCTAATCGCCGAGACCCATTTTGGAATAAAAGATTACAGCAGGCCCGGGCAGCAGCTCGGCCCGCCGCTGCCTTTCTGCTCTGCTGAAAGTTTGGCCGCCTCCCTCCTCCGCTCTTGCATTTAACAGAGAGGGGGAAAAAAAGTTGTTAGCAAGCGCGCAAGGAGACAAACTTGAAATGTAAAAGGAAAAAAAGAAGAAAAACAAACACGGCTGGAGCTGGGGATGGCAGCTGGAAGGCAATCGCGTTTTCTCTGAGCTGAGCCCGGCGGTTGTTATTATTAGGATTATTATTGTGATGCTAATCCTCAGATTATTAATGATAATAAGGGTAGTGGTAATTGCCCAACTTTCTCTTTACCTATGAAAAATGCTTAGTACTTTACTTTAGAGAAATTATTTCTTTTAGGAGAAAGTTGAGGGGGAGGGAAGTAGTCAAGGGTCTAGGAGGAAGAGCTAACCAATTTGTGGCTCGGAGATGGGGTGTAGCAGGGGCCAGTCACCTATGTCTCCTCTCTCCCAAGTCCTTTTCCCCTAAACGCTGATGTCTTCTCCCCTCACCGCCTTGTTCTGGGTGCGTCTTTCTCTGCATTTTTCTGCTGCTGGAGGAAGGGGGGGTTGTTTGGGTTTTTTTTTTTTTTTTTGAATGGCTCCAATTTTTTTCTGGAATTGCTATCCCACACAGGAGAACTATGCTTGAATTCTCCAAGTCTGGTGAGGCCTCGGCCCGGGAGGGGCGTTAGGTAGAGGAAAATAGGAAGGGGTGTGTGGGGGTGTTTTCTCTCAGGTTCTAGTCCAACAAGTGCCTGAAGCAATTTACTGACGTAGAAATTCTTCCGAAAACAAAGGGAATATTTGTAAAAAGTGTTAACATCATTTTAAAAACAGTTAATAACAATTAACACCACCTGATTTTCTTTCCCATAGCTACGGGTCCAAGGCATTCCAGTCCGGGCCCAGGCGGTTTCCGGCCTCGAGGGAACCCGAGAGCCGCTCTAGGAGCACCCAGATTGGGGGCCGGAGAGGCGGCAGTGGGAAGCACTGGGCCAGCAGCGCTGGGGAGGTGAGGGCTGTCTGCAGAGGCTGGGAGGCGACGGAGGGTAGGAACTTACTCCGGGATCCCGAGGCGCCTGGGCGGGCTTGCACGCGGGGCCCTGGCCTCAGCCTCAGGTGGAGGGGGGGAGTGCGGGGGACCCGGCAGGGGGAGGTCGGTGAGGACCCGGCTCAGCCGGGGTAATTACAACCCCGCCGCAGCACCTGCCTATAGAGCCACCAGTGACCCGTCAAAAAGAGTAGCATGGGAATTCGGACGGCGACAAAGGCTGGCGGGGGAGGCATTCGGCGTTGCGGCCACCGCTTCGGCGCTCCCTCTCCCGCAGGGCAAGAGCGGAGATTGTTGGGGGAGGGAGGGGTTGGAGAGAACCAAGTGTAGGTCTTGTCCTCACCCCCTGGGGCCTGTCACTACTCCCCAAACAACTGGCAGTCGCGCCTGAACCTCGGTCACGAGTTCTGCCGCACAGCACTCGCTCTCACTCTGGAAACAGCAAACGAGGATCTCAACCGTTCTGGGCCCCGGGCGCTCTGGTCGCCTGGGACCCATATTAAGGATTCAGTAGCAAGGTCGCCCCAGCTGCCCTCCTCTTCCCGGTAGCACTGATGGTGATGCCAAAGAAGCCCTTGTGGGAAGCGGTGGTGGACCCTCTTGCCCAGGCTTCCCATCCAGACTGGAGGCTAAGGTCATTTATTTCTGAAGGACCTGAGTGGAGCGAGACTAGCGCGGGGTGGGTGACCCTTTACTGGCTCATCGGTCAGGATGCTCGACTGTCACCACTTAGGCTTGCTGGCCGTCTCTGTCTAAGGACTGACCAGTCCAAGGCAGAGGAGAAACAGGGCTGGGGCGGGGCACAGAAGAGAGGGAAGCGAAAATTCCAGGGCAGGGAGGGTGGACGCTTCAGACTCCGCCACCCAGCCACGTTAAGGTGACTTGGGGTCACAGACAAGCTGGTTGACTGCTGCAAAGCTCCTCTCTTTTAGCAAGCCGAGCGAGCTCAGACGTGAGTCAAGCCGAGTTTCCTGAGGCTGGAAAACCGCTCTTAACTTCCCTCCCCAGGGGGTCCCCTCAGGGCTTTTTTTGTGTCATAATTGCCTAAAGATATATGGCAGCTTCGATTACTGTAATTACCATCAGAGGCTGTTGAAAGAAGTTAGTCTGGACTGCAAGGGTGACTGGCCAGGGTCTTGTTACCACCCAGGCGGGGATCCGGGTGACAACGCTGTGCTCTCCAGCCGCGAGAAGATGAAGACCTCCTTGCCCCGCAGGGTCCAGACCCGCCCCGCTGCTCGCAGACCCCCTCACGGCATAGGCCACAGGGCCACAGGTTTCCTGCTGGCGGCAGCCACAGTCTGAAAACCTCCAAGATGAAGCGGCCCTTCCAGCAGGGACTTGCCGCCTATCCCCGAGAGCCACCTCTACCGAGCCGTCACAACCTAAATGGAGGCTCAAGGCCTTCAAGACCAAACTCCGACTTAGCAAGTTAGAAAACTCAGATTTCCCTAGAGAGTGCCCTCGTACGTCATGTGCCCACTCTGACCCACCCCCTCGAATCCAGAGAGTCTGCAGCGTTCGTTAGTCTAGTTTAAAGAGCCGGGGTGCAGACCTGGAAGTTGAGCTTTGTGCCTACTCCTTCCCTTATCTCCAAAGCCCCACTTTTCAAGTTCTCTAGAAGTTTCGAGCTCTAAAAGGGCAAAAGTCCCAAAATGATCTTTACTGTCAGAGACAGATTAGGCTGCCCCAGGGTGAGCATGCCAGGAGACCAGCCCAGGCCCTCCAACTTCAGTTTTTGCAATGAGATTTGTAATGCAACGGGAATGGTCTCCTCCTTCTGCTTCTCTTGGGAAAAACACCTAGAAAAACAACTTACTGTTTTGTGCCTGCACTACTTCTGAGAGATCCCAACAGCTAGGGCATGGAGGCCAAGGCTAAGGGGAACCGCGGTCCTGCACAGGAATCGGCTGTGCGCTGAAGCTATGAATTAGGTCCCTTCTCCTGGCCCTAGCTCTGAACACTTCCTTTCTTCTCGTTTTGTTGACGTTCACTTTATTCTAATTTTTTTTTAACTCAGCACTCAGACCCAAACAAACGCACAAAATGAAAACACAACCTACTTCTTACGGGGGAGGGAGGTGGAGGCCGGAATTGCACCCATCCTAAGTGAGACTTCATTATCAGTCCTCAGAAGTAGCTAGGACTCTCCCAACTTTTCAAAGACTCGGGACAATGAGGGCGAGTGAAGGGGGAGGAGGCGGGAAGGAACTCACAGAGAGCGAGCGCCAAAAATGCTATAGGAGAAAACAACACGGGTAGTTGGAGAGCTCCGGGGTGTGGGCACTCTGTACAGATCCTAGAACTCAACAGCCTCCGGCCCGCGGAAGGCGGGAACCGAAAAGCCACAGGGAGATTGGAGCACCCTGTAGGCACCTTCTCAAAGCCCGATCAAGCCTATGCAATCTCAGGTTCTGCAGATTGTGAGCTGGCAAATGACCTAGCACATCGGAGTAGCTCTGCACTGCTGTCTCGGGAAGTGGGCAGAGGTCAGCTGCAGCTGGCCGTTCCCTCGGAGAGGAAGTTGGAGGAAGGGAAGGAGCGCCCGAGTGAGCAGGCCGCGGACTCTCGGTGGTGCTGGGCTCCCGCTCGGAAAGTCCCTGGGATTAGGGATTTGGTCCTTTCTTTGCTAGAGTAGCTCACCATACTTTACATTCCCCAGTTATGACCTACGAGGATTTAGGATTAAGGAAAATGTGACTTTTAAATGGTTTCTGCTTCCCAGTTTTGCAGGATTGAAATAGCTAGAAATGGGGTGCAAAGCATTCCATTCAAAATCCGCTTTGCAGAGTTGCTTTTGCGCTCTGGAGCTCCGAGTTTTGAGCGGCTGCGTTATTGTGCGGCTGCCTGGAGCTGCGGCCCAGTTCCCGCCCCCGTTTCACCCCTCCCACCCTTAGCACCTGGAAGCTAAATAGAAACCACTTGCTGGACCGGTGGGCTGCAACCGGTCACAACCTTCCCCATGCGCCGAGAGACTGGGGATGCTAGCATCCAGAAGCAACGAAATTGCTCTCTCAGTTTCACGAAACGCCCCAACTCAACAGTCTGAGGGGAGCTAGGCCAACGGATTCACACGCCCGACAGAGTCCCACCCAGGGGCTAAAATTCATAGAGTTTGGGGAAGGACCTCCCCGGCCTCCCAGCCTGCCCTCCCCAGGTCACTGGCTGGGACCCCGAGGCTGCTGGAGAGGTACCCACTTGTTGATCCGGGCGCTCAGAATTCGTTCCACAGTGGAAATGGAAGCATCCTTAAGTTTCTTCCCGGCTCCAGCAAAACCTCAGCTGCTCAGAATGCGGCTTGATGTGGACACGGGCTCGAACAGACAGATGGAGAGATGGACAGGCAAGCTGAAGGGAGAGGACAGCACCAGGGGAATATTGAAGGACAGAGATGGAGACACAGAAATGGTCGTTCTACGGAGCAAAGGGGGCAAGATTCCTCTCATTCCCCATTCGTGTTACTCAGTTTCCAAGCTCTCCCTCCACACAGGCGTGCCCGGTGGGCAGATCTCTACAGACCGCTGATCTTCTATGGAAAGACGAAAATCTCAGCCGCGGACTCAGAGGCAGAGGAGCTCCGCGCTGCCGGATCCCGGGCGCCGACAGGGGAAACTAGATCGCTGGGAGATCTTCCAAGGGAAGAGGTGGCCAGGTCCGAGTTTCCGGGGACAGCCGCGCACGCAGCGGCGAAGGGTCCCCGAAGTTCATTACCCTGTGACTTTGTGCCTGTCGCTGCGGGCCGGGTTTCGGGTAATATCTCCAGAAGCGCTCTGACAGGCAGCCGCGGGGAGGGGAATAGGGCGTCCCTGGCCCACTTAGCTTTTCCCCCAACTCCTGGCGGGGTCTGACGTCAGCCATGTGCGGGGAGGAGATGGGAAGAGGGAGGGGGTTAAATGCTAATGATATTAATGAACCTCCAAGCGGCTTCCAAAGAAAATGCAGGCGCTCTGGGAGCTGACGAGTTAGAGTGTGAATATGCGAGTGCGGCTCCGTGCGTGCGTGATGGTGAGGACCGTGCCGCTCTTGCAATAAAAATGAATTTTTATATTTCACGGCAAGGGAGAAGGGGAGGGGTGACGGGGCTCTCTCAAAACGCGTTCCCCCCTCTCTCCAGAGCGCCAGACAGATAGATTCGTGGAAGAAATTGGGTGGCTGTGTCTATGTGTGATTGTGCGCGCCCGGACATGGTCATGTGAGTTGGTTCATTGTTGGTCCCGCGCCCCTTCTGTTGGGTAAAACTTGGATCTGGCCCGAGGTGAGTAATTTATTCCTTTTGCAACTATCTGTGGAAAGCCAGAACTGAGGACGAGGACTTGGGGCCTGGGCTGGGGTTTTGCGGTCCCTCGGCCTTGGCGTGGCGGGTTTGGGCACGGCAGCGGGGAGGGCTTCGCCAGCTTCCTGCAAGCACAACCGGCCCACCCGGAGCTGGCGGAGTCCTCTCGCCTCCATTACGTGCACTGGAGCTTCTGGAAGGCGAAGCCTTCCCTCCAGCGGTTGGTCCCCAGCAGGCATCCTGGCTTCCCCCTGCAGGCCTGGAGACTCCCGAGAGCTCCGCTACCTTCCTGCCCACCCCGATCGCCTATCCGGAATTCCAGAGCTCTCCGGCGTCCCGGTTCGTGGCGCGGCGCGGGGACAGCGCGCGCCGAGGGAGCGGTGATCTCCGTTCTCTAAGAGATTAATTCTATTTAAGCTCCCTCGGCAGGTTGAACTTGTC